GCTAGTTTCCTCACTGACACGCTTAACAAAAGGTAGGAAGGATATCTATACTTTTAAGTGCATTCTGCAGGATTGGGTGGAGACAGTAAGGAGAAGCTTATGCAAGTACTCTCCTTCAATAAGGAAATAAGGAAGTTGAAAATAAATATTATATATAATAATATTATTAAAATATATCCCAACAGATAACGCGTGCCAAGTCTTATGCCTCAGTTGCTACGTGGCTCTTTTGTAAATCCTGTCCATTCCAGCAAGTCTTCTTCCACAGTGTCACCCAGCAAATAGCAGTCAGTTACCTCACTGGACACGCTTAATAAAAGGTAGGAAGGATATCTATACTTTTTTAAGTGCATTCCGCAGAATCAGGGTGTATGCAGTAAGGAGAAACTTATCAAAGTACTCTCCTTGTTGCATGTGATAATAAACAAATGATTGATATATTTGTTTTGCGTGAGCATTCATTACATTATTATCATTAAAATGTTAAATATATATAAATATATATATATATATATATATCATACACATATAGGAAACTGCTATTGAACAATCTGGGAACACTAAAAAATGATTTGATGTGCAACATTTTGTTGCTCAATATTACAATTATTCACACATTCCTTGTGAAAAAGGCTAATCTGACTTGATCCCCCGATGATATAAGAACGGAATTAAACTTTGGGGAGGGGTAACGATGCTCTGAAGTTTTTCAACCACGTTGTGTTAAAGCTTCTTGCTTGTCTGAAGCCTTCAAACTTGTTCAATTGCCTTACCTGTAGAAAAAATTAGAATTCTACAGTTATTGAGGTTTGCAATCGCATGACGCTTGCTTGTTTGTGAAAGGAAAATTTTATTAAATCTGACACCCATAAATCAGGGTTGGCATTGGCTGTAGATCCAAATCCACCATCACAATAATCAACAACAGCATCACCACACAACCTCACTCCAACCCGCCATCTCAATCTCAATAACAAACCCAACCAAATTCGTCACCAATTCAACCTCCATCATCAAGAACACCAAGTCAAAATACATCTTGAACATGTTCAATGCCAACCCTGTTTATAATAAACATCAGATTTATTCATTTGGAAATAATTTTTAAAAAAGCTCTACAACTTGTAATTGTGTGCAATTGGAAAGTGCACACACAAAAGGAAAGGGAACCAAGCAGAGGAAAAGGGGTTTTTTATCTCCAACTCTACCAAATTCCCTGTCTTCTACCCGCCAGGAAAGACATCTTTTTTAAAATCACTGCATGGTCTTGGTATTATCATTACTCGGGTGATGCAATTTTATGTTATACCAAAAATGTATTTTTGATTCAACCAAAAGAAAAAATATTTTATATAACATGTTGAAAAAAAAATAAATTGAATACAGCAATGTATAATAATGGGTTTAGCAAAATCAGCAGGGAAGAAGATCCTGTTGAACTTGACTAATTATAATATATATATAATTTCATTGTCAATCTCACAAAATCAATTCCCAACATGGGGTTGTTATTATTATTATTGTTTAAAACAAAAAGAAAAAAGATCATTTATTAATCATGAAATTTTGATTTCTAATTTTTTTTTTCCTAAAAATACTTGCATTGTATTATTATTATATTTCCTCCTTGAAGGCCACCAAAAATTGAACTTACGACTTTCGAAACAATACAACTTTATTGATAAAGGATCATTAGCCAATTAAATAAATGAATAATGAATTAAAGTTGATCTATCTATTATTATATAACCTACCTCATAAAAAACATCATCATGCCAATATATTTGTAACTTTTAAATAACTCCTCATTACGATTTTTATAGCGATCATTTGTAGGAAATAATATGATACCTAATTTGTTTTAAAAAAGTTAATCCTTACTGATATACACTGTACTTTTCAATATACTAATATTATTATCAATTACCAAATGCTACTCCATGTACGATATTTAATATTAGAACTGTAACTATGCTGTAAAATTGCAGCGAAAAACAGCCAATCTTTCTTTCTGGTTTTGAATCTCGGTATTCTCTCGATCTTGTCATTTCAGCGCCATAATAACCGATGCACTCAAATGAATTTCTTGATAGCAATGAGTTTTCAGTTATATTATTTTCATCAATGTAATCTGTATTATTTATACTTGACCCATCTATTGCCATCATTTCTGACATATTATCCACTATTTTGTGTTGTTGTCAAAGTGGGAAATAATAATCTGTTTGTAGTGGTAGATTACTGGGCAGCATTATATTTGATGCCAGTCGTACAGTTGATGGTAATTTTAGCATCCTAGTCAAATTACTACAATTACACTTATTATTGTAGCAATAGTGATCGCAGTTTAGACGATTTCCTGCTGCTGCGCTAGTTTCTCCAAAACCTTATTAGATACATGGATGGGTCATTAGTATTCTATTTATTATTATGTATATTTTAAATTAAAAGATTTTTACCTTTACTAGAAAAATATATATTGTTAATGTTCATGTTTAGAAATATTGTTTTTTTAACAATCAGAGGATAATTAGCAGAGAGTGTGAGATAGTCGTCTTTTTGTAGGGAAACAGTTCAGCCCAAACCGGTAAGTATCGGAGTTGGTGGAATTGCCGTGTATCTCGGAGTTATAAAATCAATTTTTGTTTTATATTTTATTTATTAACTATCTTAAAGAGAATACAAACCAGGGTACAAAATTTTTTGTGAAGATTTCTGGATTCTTTCTAAAATGCAATAAGAAATATTTACCGGGAAAATAATAAAACTTGATGGCAAGCTAAGCTAAAACTTAAAAATAAAGCAACAATTAACTCCTTTAGTCATATAGTTCACTTACTTCGAATTTCATTTGCCAATAAAATTTCCAGATATCTAATTTCAGACAAAAGCTCAAGCTTTAGCTCATCAAATGATAGAAAAGAAGCAAAAGGCACGATCAATCTATTACATTGGTGGGAAGATAAAAGGATAAATGTCCAATTCTATCCATCTTCATCAGTGCCTAGTGAGATGCTTTTTTCTAATCAATCACATTACTCCAAAAGAAATAAAGTTGTAGGAAAAATTTTTTTTTTTTTAAAAGAAATATGACATTATTAGATAATATTTAACAAGTATGGCCGCTGGTGAAGCCTTAACCTTTAATATAATAAGTCTGACGATTTACTTTGGTTTGTGCCTAGAAAGCTTCGGCGAATCTGTAAGTACGCTTAATAATACGGCATAATCGTAAATAAATAGATATTAATATGGCTTTTACAAAGTTCAAAGACTTCTATAAAATTTATTTTTATTTACTTATGACTGCTTATTCTCAAACACTTTAAGCGGCTTATTTAACAATCTTATTTTTTAAAATAACATCACCTGTCCGTATTTTCAATTGACACTCTTGGACAATACTTTGGGGATAACGATAAGAAGAAAATTAGAAATATTTACCAGTAAACAATGAAAAAAATTTTTAATGATCACAGAAAATCAATATCCTCCATTATTATTATTATGCTTCAATTCTCCTTGGCATGTTTTCGAATGATTTATTAAACCATTCTTTTTGAAATACAATCTCTAAATCCGTTGGATGTTTAGGAAACCTGCTTCTTTTTCAATTGGTCTTTCAAGTTTATCTCAAAGATTCCCAATTGGATTAAGGTCCAACGATTATGAAAACTTAAAACATTTGCTCGTTGCAATTCAGTCAGCTCTTTGTTTTTGTCTCTTTAAAAATCCTGATCTATAACATTTTATTTATTTTTAATTACTTATTTTTAAAATTATGAGAATTTTACAAGCTGATTCTTGAAAACTAAATTATTTTATTGAGATAATTTTTATGTATTATTAGCATACAAAACTTGAGAAGATTTGTGTAGTATTTTACATGTATATTTGTTAGAATCTAAGCTACATGATTATATTTTTTTATTATGCAAAACAAAGTTCGTATACCTCTAATTGTTGTTATAATAATAATAAAAATCCTGGGGATAATGATTTAACCTTTTTACAGATAATCTCATTGTCGATCTCATAAAATGGATTCCCAACATGGGTTTGTCATTAATCATACTCCTGAAAGCAGGTTTATCCATTCCCCATAGGACACATGGAGTTATTGTCACCAAATTTGTTCGTCGCAGATTATCAGTGAAAAATCCCATTTCGCCTACCACAGTAAATGGTAATATTCTCTCAATTTGTTCTGGTTTATTATTCTCTGCTGAAATCTGTGTGACAATCAATTGTCCTTCCTCCACCACATACATAAAATTTGGGTTAGATCCTTCCGACCACAGTGTTGAATCCTTTTGTAATATTTCCTTTTTAAAATATGGAACCAACAAGTTAAAGAATTCCTCATTCTCATTGGTAGTTTCATTAAATGCTTTCATTAAAATATTTACAAATTTGCATCTACTTTTAAGATAGAGCTCATCTAAATCAAATGTAAATTAATTTATATATACATATATATGTACTGATTGATTGATTAATTTACTTACTTTTATATATATACTTTCCAGCATTTTCGACTTGAAGATTACAAAAAGTCTCATCCTTAAGTAAAGATGGTATAATCTGATGATGTACTCCAACTTTAATAAATATTAAAAAAAAAATATATTGTTAATGGATTTTTAACATTCAATAAATTTATATTATAAATAATTACCAAGCTGGTTATTATTGAATAGTGGTTTGTGTTTAGCATAATAAGTTCCCAAAAGTGAATCCTCACACCATTCAAGTGCCTCATTATATTTACTAAAAACCTTTACATAGTCATTATGTGAATCTTTCCAAAATGACAATTTCTTCAATGGTTTATAAACTTGCTCAGAGCCATGTAATGATATTCCACAGATTACAAAGTATATTTTTTGACGTTGAAGATATTTTTGAATGTTTTCAAGCACTTGGACAGCATTAATCCCAAATCCAGTAACATCACACATGTTCAAAATTAAGAATCTAATTGGCTTTGAATTCTGTTCACAATCAATCAGGAATTCCTTTATATCATCTTCAATTCCTTTCATTGTTCCATAAAACATATAGCCTTGTAACATCCTTGCATGGATTTGACTACCACCAACTTCTTTGAGAAATTGTTGATCACGGTAATGCCTCCGAACAGAAGATCTAGCTGAATTGCTAGGAGCCATTTTTCCTCTTTTATAATTGGATGCCAGAAAAAATATATATGAGAGCATTATTCCTATAACTATTCCTTCAACAAATCCAATAGTCATTATTGCAACTATTATGATTATCATATTGAAGTTTTCATAATTATCAGAAAACTTCCATGAAGCTATCAATGCTTTTCCTATCAACTCCAGTCCCAAATAAACAATCATTGTAACTACAACTATTGCAGGAATGTATTTAATAAATAGTTGTCCAAAATATACTGTTATACTAATACAAAATGCAAGTATCAGTCCTACATAAGGTTTCGGGAGAAACTCCTCCAGAAATCAATCGACAGAGTTTCGACAGGTTACACATTAATTGTTTATTAGAGTTTCGGCAG